AACATGCACTTATCAGAAGTAAACAGAAGATCATATGTATTCCTACCTGAAGCTCACCATACCTACAAACACTCTCTCACATACACCTTTTCTCCCTGAAGTATAGCCTTGTTAATTTTGTAAGTGCTGTATGAGAGGTGAATTTGGTAGAGAAGAGAGCCTGGTCATGAAGTCATCAAGTCAAACTGAAACAGGTGTGGTGGCAGCTCCCACAGTGCTTAGCCAGGGAAAAGGCTGGTCAGAGCAGGCACCTATCCAGGCTTGAGTTATGTCACACTGTCTCCTCTTTTTCATTTGTTTGACAAAGGCCCACCAGTGCACCAACTCATGGCTATCACCTATTTTTGTTTCCAAATCAAAAATCAAGATTACTGTGCTCCTCATTTGTGGAGTATAAAACAACATAACATGATGCTGACACCTAAGGATAGTAGATACATGCAACAGGTAGATTGCTCCATAGCTGGAAGCCTGACTCATGAGCAAAGGGGAAAAGGCAGCTGGAATAGAAAAGGGATCACTAAGAAAATGATCACTAAGCTTACACTATGTAACATATGATACATTTTATTTACACATCATTAAATGTGCACACAAGGCAAACGCCCTACCGCTGTGCTATTACAAATAGCACAGCGGTAGGGCGTTTGCCTTGCGCACAGCCAGCCTCGCCGAGCCAGGTTCGATTCCTCCACCCCTCTCAGAGAGCCCGGCAAGCTACCGAGAGTATCTCGCCCGCATGGCAAAGCCTGACAAGCTACCCATGACGTATTCAATATGTCAAAACACGGTAACAACAATTCTCATGATGGAGACGTTACTGGGCCCGCTCGAGCAAATCGATAAACAATGGGAGGACAGTGCTACAGTGACAATGCTAAATGTGCAAAGTACTACATTTGGTGTAATAGAGTGTACATTTTATGTATTGTCTCATGTATTGTCTCCAGTTCCTGAACCGATTAATCAACATTTACTGAAGATCTATGACCCCCAACTAAGAAGAGAACACTTGTCCCTGTCTTGAGTTCTGGTTAGTGGAAGAGATACACACATAAACAATTAAAGTATGTGATTGGTGCTATATAGATGTACCAAATTTAAATAATGGTTCAATTTAAGAAGTTTTGATTTTAGGGCCGGAGAGATAGTACAGTGGGTAAGGCATTTGCCTTGCATGCAGCTGATCTGGGTTCAATCTCCCACATCCCATATGGTCCCCCTGAACCTGCCAGGAATGATTCCTGAGAGCAGGGTCAGGGATTACCCTAAGTATTGCCAGATGTGGCACGAAAATAAAATAAAAAGCTTTCAGCTTTATGATAGTGTGAACATACTTATTTAGTAGAAAATCATGGAAGGTCATTCTCTCATGGTTTGGGGCAATAGCAGCTAGCTGCAACTCCCAGTAAGCATGCTCATGTTACACCATTTCCAAATATAATGTGTTAATCGTGATATAACTCCACATTTGTTGTTGTTGTTTTGTTTTGTTTAAGGGCCACACCTGGCAGGGCACACTAACTTCCAACCGATCAGACTTGTGTACTATTTTTTTCAATTTGAGGCAGTGCTCAGGAATCACTCCTGGTGAGGTTCAGGGGACAATATAGGGTGCCAGGGATTGAACCCAGGTTGGCTGCCTACAAGGCAAGCACCCTACCTGCTCTCCAGCCTCTTCATCTTAAGTTGTGGGAGATCGGTATGGCAAAAGCCTGCTAGCAGTGCGTGAGAATACAAAAAAGAGAGAACTGAATATGAGGGAGAGGGGGAATACTGAATGCGTATTTATCAGATTAGAGATTTGAGGAGGGGTAATTGGAGGGAGGACATCCCAGTATGCACAGAGAAAGGCCTAAGAATATGGTACTTCCCAGGCCAGGGAAATGGCTCAAAAGATTGATACCACAAGGTTGTCCCGCACCCACCCCATAAAAAAGTAAGTTGTTTTCCATGAAAGACTATATAAGACTGCGGCTAGAGAGATAGTATAGTAGACACAGTACTTGCCTTGCAAACGGCCAACTCGGGTTGAGTCCCTGGCAACACATATGCTCCCTTGAAGACTTTCAGAAGTGATCCCTGAGCACAAAGTCAGAAGTAGACCCTGAGCACAGCCAAGTGTGGTCCCAATTATTTTTTTTAAAAAAAGAGTACACAAGTCTAACTGGTTGGAACTTATTGTGCCGAGCAGATGAAGAACCAGAAAAAGTGGAAAGTGGCCTGAATTTAAAGAGACCTGTACGTAGAGCATTTTAAGTTAAGCAATGGGAGAAATCAAAGATGTTTTAAGCGAAGATTTTATATGATCACATATAAATAAGAAAGATTACAGTTCTCCTAGCTCTGTGACCTTAAGTATTAGGGTCTTCATCTGTAAGTCTCCTCCACACCCCGTGTACAATCTAGATAAGTGGTAGTAGCCTTGGGTACAATTTGGGGACAGGAGAGTGTTCCTGTTTGTTTGCTTTGGGAAGATGGATTTCCAGAAGCTTGCTGAGCAGTTTTTTTAAAGACCTGATAAGTTTGGAAACCTCTGAAGAATATGATAAGAAGAATATAATAATAGAAGTATTTATTTACATGATTGATTAGAGGAATAAATGAACGAATGTATATAAAGCAATCAGCACAGTACCTGACAAATCAGCACTCCTCTTACAATTAGGAGTGTTGGCCCAGAGGTAGCCAAAGGGCTAGAGACATGGCATATTGGAGCCCCAGGTTCAATACTGACCGTACATCATATGATCTCTCCCACACCACTGGGAGCGATAGAGGGGTTCGGCAGGGTGATACCATTTCACCGAAACTCTTCAGTGCCACCCTCGAGTACATCATGCCACGACTGGAATGGGAAGGAATGGGAGTGAAGATAGATGGTCGGCAACTACACCACCTCCGCTTTGCTGATGACATTGTTTTAATAACACCAAACATTAGCCAAGCAGCACAAATGCTGGCCGACTTCGACCGTGAGTGTGGAAAGGTTGGACTACAGCTGAATCTTACGAAGACAATGTTTATGAGAAACAGGCTCATTCCTGACGCCCCATTCGCTCTCAATGGAACGACCATCTCCGAATGCAACAGCTATGTGTACCTAGGTCGAGAAGTCAACATGACAAATGACCTGGCACCTGAGCTGCGCAGGAGGAAGAGAGCAGCTTGGAACGCCTTCAAGAGCGTCAAAGAAGTAGCTAAGAGGACGAAGAACCTCCAGCTCTGGGCACATCTCTTTGATTCCACTATTCTTCCTGCATTAACATATGCCTCAGAGACCTGGACCCTACGCAAACAGGATGAGAACGCTATTCGGGTCTCCCAAAGAAGAATAGAAAGAGCTATGCTTGGAATATCAAGTTTCACTCAAATGAGAAAAAGAATCCGGAATTCCGACCTCCGTCAATGATCAAGAATCAGGGACGCTGTCTCGTTTGCCAAGGTGTCAAAAATCAGATGGGCTGGTCACATAATGAGATTTGGAGGCAACCGCTGGACTAGAGCTGTTACCGACTGGATTCCACGGGATGTCAAAAGACCGCATGGCCACCCACCTACCAGATGGTCAGACTTCTTCATCAAGACCATGAACGATCGGTTTGAGGCTCTTTGTGTTCCTAGAGCGAACAGACGCCATTGGGCTACACTAGCACGCGACAGGGACAAATGGAGACGTTACTGGCTCCTGCTCGAGCAAATCAATTAATGGGAAGTCAAGTGATCAAGTGATCAAGTGAATATATATGTGTAGTCACACTTGTTTTTTAGAAAGAGGAAAGAAGGGAGAGAGAGGGAAGGAGGAGGGAGAGTATGCATCCCAGGTTGTGATGCTGGCAGCAGAGAATAGTCCCTTCTCCAGTGTTTTCTTAAGAAACTTTCTTGGTAGGACAGAACATAAACTAGAGATAAGAAGACTGATAGTACGAGGTCTCATTAAGATGATATCGGAATTTAATCCATGACAGTTACGACCTTAAGCTGAAACTTGGATTTAGAAGTGAAAAAGCAAAGGGCCTGTCTAGCTTGTGAGACTACATCCAGCAGGACAGCCCTTAATCAAATTCAGTTTAAGGGTAGTCAGAATGTAGGGACATAAGTGCAGAAATCGATAGAGTTCAACTTGGGATCTGTTGAATTGGAGAAGTGAAACTCCGGAAGATGAAGACCTGGAGAATATCAATATTTAAGGGAAGGCCAGAGCCAGTGACCAAAACTGTTTGGTCAGCTACTGCGCGGTCATTGTGAAATGCAATGACGGGGGCTGAGGGCCTGGGGAAGACACTATCTCCAGCTAGCCTTGTGTAATCTCTTCAACCAGCTCCCCAACGTAGAAACAACCTCCTTTCTAGGCAGGTCTCTGCTTTGCTGCTTCTTTTTCAGTTCTTTGCTTTGCTGCTTCTTTTTTAGTTCTTTGGGGCATTTTTTGCTGGTAGAGACCACTTCCCCCCCTCCCTCTCTTAACACAAGGAAGGAAACGTTTAGCAGTTTTCAACTTGATCACCTAGGCGACCCCGAATCGCAAGGGAGTGTGTGAGAAGAGAAGCAAAGAGAGAAAAAATGATTTTTTAAAAGAAAAAAATCGGTGACGACCTCTAATAATCAAAGTTCCACCTCCCCATATCCTGCCACGCTGCTCTCCAGCCCTTCTTATCAAAGCCTGGCCGCGGAGCAGGACGGGAAATGTAGTCCTCAAGCCTGACCAGGGTGGCACTACTGAGGAACTCGGTTTCCCAACTGGCTCTCCAGGCGCGTGCGCAGATGGCTGCCCCAGCGAGTGGTAAACAGAGACGTCAGGCGGGGGCTGCTGCTTGGAGCAAAACAAAAGGGAAATCCGGGGGGCGGGGGGTGGGGGGTTTGATTGGGGAATCGGTACAGGAACAAGAGAGGCTTGGGTCTCGGGGACGTAGACCCCCTCCCTTTAAGAGTGGAAGGAAGAGAGGAGGCGGGGGGGAGGGGGAGTCAGGGGAGGGGCAAGTGACGCTGGGGAGCGGAGCGTGGGGGAGGGCAGTGATACGGGTGGAGGAAATTTGGGAGGAGTGTCGGGGGGCAGCAACTTAAAAGGGGGAGGGAACTGCAGCTGAGAGACGTTCGGTGATGGGAGCGCAATGTATGAGGGGATACCATGCCTGGGGTTTAAAAGAGCAGGAAGCTTAGTGCGAAATCAGAGGAAAAGTGTCTACGCTAGGCGGAGGTTACAGGTGGTGCCTCCGAAAGAGCTCTGGGGCTGCAGGCTGTAGTGGAGAAGAGGCGCTTGAGTACTGTGTGGAAGGGACAGCTTTGGGGCTAGCGTCCCGGGGCGAAGGGGGAAGTTCGAGACTTCTGAAGACTGGCAGGAATGTGCCTCCTGGCCCTCGGTGCTTCCCCCCTGGGGGGAGGCATCGTGAGGGACTGTGGCAGGCTCCTCTGAACGCTGAGCTGCAGAGGTCCAACTCCACGTATGGATCCAGGGAATGAGAATTCAGCCACAGGGGCTGCTGCGATCATAGACCTCGATTCTGACTTCGAACCCCAGAGCCGTCCCCGCTCCTGCACCTGGCCCCTTCCCCGACCAGAGCTCGCTACAGAGCCGTCGGGGCCACCCGAGGTGGAGCCTGGTCTGGGCGAGAAGGTACACCCGGAGGGGCGCGCAGAGCCGATCCTGTTGCCCTCCCGGCTCCCAGAGCCGGCAGGGGGCCCCCAGACCGGGATCCTGGGGGCTGTAACAGGTCCTCGGAAGGGAGGCTCCCGCCGGAATGCCTGGGGAAATCAGTCATACGCAGAACTCATCAGCCAGGCCATTGAAAGCGCCCCGGAGAAGCGGCTGACACTCGCCCAGATCTATGAGTGGATGGTCCGCACGGTGCCCTACTTCAAGGACAAGGGTGACAGCAACAGCTCAGCAGGATGGAAGGTAACTATGATCCCCCCTTACCTCTGCCCCAGCACCATCTGTACCTGACCCCCAGCCTTCTGAGATCTAATCTGGGGACCCTTTTCCATCCCCACCCCAGAAATCCACCTTCAGTAGTCAATTACACAAACATTTACTTAGGCCATGCTCAGGGCTTGATGCTGGAGGATCACAGATGAATAAGACACTGTCCTTGCCCTGGAGAAAATTGAATTCTCTGCTCCCTGCTAAATACTCCCAGCACTTTGGCTTGGACTGCCCCAAACACTTATTCCCACAGAGAAGCCTTTATCCTATGTACAGCTTGAACTGTGTGGATTCCCCACGTGAACCGAGCCTCCCTACCTTCCCCACCTCCCACCCCAACACCTTTTCTCCCATTCCTGTGGGATTGCTTGAATTCCCTGCTTGTCTCCCAAAACCTCAGTGTAAAGGTACTGTTTAGAACTGCTCACTACCTAGGAAGAGGGAATGGAGAGGCAAAAAGGTTCTTTAAACAGTGATATTCAGGCCTGGGGAGATCGTCGAAAGGGCTGGAGTGCATGCTTTGCATGTGGGAGGCCGGGTTTGATCACCAGCACTGCATTGTCTGATGCAAGGAGCAGAGCCCCCCCCCCCCAAATACAAGCGTTTTGCAGGGTGTGACCCAAAAAGAGAATAAGAAAAGTGATATCTATATATTAAGGTAACTGATCTTCTACCAAGGAAAAGGAGCAGTGCGCTACCTGCCTCGGTTTCGTTTATAATGCCACTATATTCTTCAGTGAAAGGGGCCATCAAAGATTAAGGAAAACAATTTTAGGTACTGCTGAAAAAATATCAGGCATGGAAAACAGAGATAGGGCTCAGAATTTAGAGCACATTGGGTGGGGTGCTAATTTACTTTTCGTAAAGAAATTGAGAAAATACCTTGAAGGATGCTCTGAAAAATTTGTCCTGAGAAATACAGGATTCTAAGGCCTGGAATGTGGCCCAGAGGTAAAGCCCTGTATGCATAATACTTGGATTCATATCCCAGCACTGGGGGGAGGAAAAAAACCCAAAGAAAAACAACAAAGAAATTTGGAGCTCTAATCACAAAATTTGGGTTCTTCAACTCGTATTGATGCCTCAGATCCTAGTGAGTAGTAAGATCAGCATACAAGGAAATACGGAGTGTGGACTAAGCAGAGAATCTTCTGCTGGACATTAGAGAGCAAGAAAACAGAAATGCAGTAGCCCTATGGGTTGGGCAGAACAAAAAACAGGACAGCTGACTGAGACCCTTGGCACTATTTCTGGGTAGACTGCCACACCACAGTCTTAGTTCAGAAAGAGCTCCTCTCCTTGGACCCGGCCTACACAGCTGTTTTTCTTTTCCCTTAGGTTCATTTTTCCAGGATAGAAGAAATAACTATGAACTGTTAGTAACACTGTGAGAGTGTAATCCCTCCTTATATTCTTTTTTATTGTTGTTTTGAGTCCATACCCCACGGTGCTCAGGGACTCTGCCTGGCTCTGTCCTTAGAGATCACTCCTGGAGGGGCTTAAGGAACTATATGGGGTGCTGGAGATTTAACCCTGGTAGTCTGCGTGCAAGGCAAGCACCTTTAAAATGCTAGATCTCCAGCCCCCTACTTTATTTTTGGGGATTTTTTTGTTTCTGTTTTGAGGTGTGGGGGTACAGTGCCTGGGATTTAACCCATGTGAGCCCTAATTGGGTGCTTTAGTTTACAAAGTCATTTAGTGCTTTTATTCTATTCATCATCACAGAAATTCTGAGATTCCTCATTTTTACATATTCTAAAACTTTGGGGTAGAAAATAGTGGAACACAGACTTGAACACAGGTCTGATTATAAATCACATGTCCTTTCTGCTAATCATGCCACTAGATTCTCTTCCCTGGCGCCTCCAAGCCCCTTCACTCTCTATTGGGGGAAGGGGGCGGGGAGCCTCATGCCTGCACTGGCTTTCCTGGTGAGTTGCCAAGGTTACTCCCACCCCACCAGGGGGCGGCACTCGCTTGGAACAAGAAATCTCAATCTCAGTGGCTTGGGGAGCAGTTAGCGGTCACCTCTCCCCCATCTAATAGGTAAGAATTAGGGCTTTCTAATGGGTGATAAGAAGTGGGGAGAACAGTGCACCTTCTCAGGAGATCCAGACTTGAAAGATAGAAAGGGGGCACATTTAGGTGTCACTTATCATTGTGGTCTTCAGTTCCTAAAAACCCTGGTCAGATAGACAAGTATGATTCTCTGAAGGAAACTAGAAATATCACTGCAGCCAGAGCAGTTGAAGTGCCATTACTGAAGGTTGCCAGAGAGACCAGTAGCTCTTTGGCTAGAGAGTCCTGGAACTAAAAGCCACTCCAGCATCTTTACCCAGGCAAAGGGTCTCCTTATCTGGAGCACCAGTCAGAAACATATGAAGTGCTTTCTGACTGTCCATAACTTCAGCTTCCTAGTTGCTGCAAGCACTCCTGGGCTCCTCCCTAAATACTAAAGAGTTCCATGTAGGAGGTCAAATGCCCCTAAGGTTAGAGATCTTGTGCACAAATTCCTGAGAAGTAGGGGAAAGAATGTAGAAAAAAGAAGGGAGGTTGGGGGTGAAGGGGAAGAAACACATGAGGATGGTATAACTGACCTGAGGAAACTAGTAAAAACAAGCTGCTCTGGGGGCTCAAGAGGCAAAATATCAGCAACTAGGGGAAACACAAAGCTTTGAACATCCATGGTACACAAGGGATTACAAAGTGAGCACATACTGGTTAAGAGCACCTACCTTGCTACCTTGTCAGTGTTTGGTCATGAGTTCAAATCCCTGGTGTCTCATATGTGCTGAATGTACTCCCAGCAGCGGCTGTGTGAGCCTGGAAATGCTACTGCTGCAACGATGGGCACCACAAAAAAGGAGGAGGAATAACTGACAGACTTTTGAGGGGAACTCTCTATCTGAGGATCACCTACCAATCAGAAAACAAATATTGATTATGTGCTTGGAGTTTGAGTATGTACTTACTGGCAGCTTAGCCCTCCGAAGCGACAGTGTTGAGGATTGTTCCACTCGGTCTGGGTCGTTGGCACAGCCTCATTGGGTGCCTATTGAAACACTGTAAACTCCACAGTACAGCTTGGGTAAGGTTGTGGGGAACAGATGAAAAAAGTGCTTTGCAAGAAATTAGGCTGCATAAGTCAAGCTAGCATTTTTAAAAGAGAGGGAACATCGTAAGTTGGTCTTGCTAAGCTGGCAGGCTTTAGAAACAGATGACCCTCTCAGGATTAGGGAAGGCCATGGGGCGGAATGTACCTTGTGTATCTGTAGCATACGGCACAGCATGGAAGCCTGGTCCCAGTGTAGTTGAGCATGAGTGACCAGGAATGGGGAGAACTCGAAGGAAATGAATCTTCAAGTCCTGCAGGGGGTAGAGCACTGGCCCTTCTGAGCTTTCCGCCCCTCTGCCTATTCGGAGAACTGGCTCTCAGGACAGGGTGGGCTAGGCTTGGGGTGGTGTTAAGCCACTGTTCCAAAAACTTCACCCAAACCTGTGTTCGAGGAAAGGGGTGGAGCTGTGGAATGCTCTTTCCCACCTGAGCGTTGTTCCTGCTGACCAAAGAGCGCATCTTCCCCACACCCACCAGCCCCAGGTGGGGGACACAACACCCTCTGCACTAGAGCGTCATTCACATAGTCTGGAGCAGAGGCTAAGCAGTTTGTCTCCAGGTGGGAACTGCCTAGAGGGTCCTATGCCCCCTTCCACCTTTCCTTGCCCCCACCCTCCATGCCAGGGACTAGTGTTGAGGCTCAAGGAATCCCCTGTTGTGCCCCAGCAGCCTTTTGAACTGCATGCTGACCGGCTCCTGACCTCCCTTTACTAGCACTTCATGCCCCTTTCCTGCTCCTTCTGCTCCCCCCCTCCAGAACTCGATCCGTCACAACCTGTCCCTGCACAGCAAGTTCATCAAGGTTCACAACGAAGCCACCGGCAAGAGCTCTTGGTGGATGCTGAACCCTGAGGGAGGCAAGAGCGGCAAGGCACCCCGCCGCCGGGCAGCCTCCATGGATAACAGCAGCAAGCTGCTCCGGGGGGGGCGCAGCAAGGCCCCCAAGAAGAAACCAGCTGTGCTGCCCACTCCACCTGAAGGCGCCACACCAACCAGCCCAGTGGGCCACTTCGCCAAGTGGTCAGGCAGCCCTTGCTCCCGAAACCGCGAAGAAGCCGATGTGTGGACCACCTTCCGTCCACGAAGCAGTTCCAATGCCAGCACCATCAGCACTCGGCTCTCCCCCATAAGACCCGAGTCTGAGGTGCTGGCAGAGGAGGAAATGTCCGCCTCAGTTAGCAGCTACCCAGGGGGGGTCCCTCCCACCCTGAGTGAAGATCTGGAGCTGTTAGATGGGCTCAATCTTACATCGCCCCACTCCCTGCTTTCTCAGAGTAGTCTCTCTGGCTTCTCTCTGCAGCATGCAGGGGTGTCGGGCCCTTTACACGCCTACAGCACCTCCCTCTTCAGCCCAGCAGAGGGGCCCCTGGGTGCAGGAGAAGGGTGCTTCTCGAGCAGTCAGTCTCTGGAGACCCTGCTCGCTGCCGATAAGCCGCCCCCTCCTGCTGATGTCCTGATGACGCAGGTGGATCCCATTCTGTCCCAGGCGCCGACGCTTCTGTTGCTGGGGGGGATTCCTTCCTCCAGCAAACTAGTTGCTGGAGTCGGCCTAGGCCCAAAGCCCCTCGAGGCCCCGGGTCCCAGCAGCCTGGTCCCCAGCCTTTCTCTCGTAGCACCCCCTCCTGTCATGGTGGGTGCTCCCATCCCTAAGGCCCTGGTAACGCCTGTGCTCACCCCTCCCGCTGAAGCTCCAAGCCAAGATAGAATGCCTCAGGATCTGGATCTTGACATGTACATGGAGAACTTGGAGTGCGACATGGATAACATCATTAGCGATCTCATGGATGGCGACGAGGGACTGGACTTCAACTTTGAGCCAGGTACACTGCTCTCGCCCAGCCCCTCTACACCTGCCTGCCCAAGCATGGTAGCATGCACAACCCAGATACCCTTCAGCTATCCCACTCATCCCAGGATCTGAGCCCATGGGAAGCTGAGAACAGGAGGGGGGCGGTATGTGTAAGTCCTTGGAGCACTCCTGCTGGGGGACTTGGAGGGAGATGGTCCTATTGGAGTGACGTCATTTCCGGATGGGATCTCCAGACCCTCAGCAGTGCCGCTGCCCCCACCCCCACGCCCATGACCCTCTTACCTTGTTCTCTGTTCTTCTTCCCACAGATCCCTGAACCGTGGCTGAAAGCTTTTTCCCCCTGCTTCAGAGGTGGAGCCAGGCGTACCCATAGCCACTCTTTACCCTTGACTCCACCCTGGGAACTCGGGCCCCTTCTTTAGCGCTAGGGTGGGGTCTGCTCACACGGGTGTTGAAGAAATGAATGATCAAGAAAAAGCTGCCCCACATGGGGACTCTGGGGTGGGGGGAGGGAAAGGGATGGGAGAAAGGGAGCAGGTTTATTCTCACTGTGCCAATTAGGGGGTAAGGTCCCCTCTTGGGAGTCATCCTTGGCTTCCCCCATTCCCACCCCCTAGGTCTTGCCTTGTAACGTGGGTGGGCAGTGCTGTTGGAAATGTGAAGTCACCAGTGGCCTTACCTCTGCCTTTGGGGGCAGGATATTTTGTAGTCTTATCTGAGTTGGTCCAGGCTAGATGGAACCTGGGACTTTTGTTTTGTTTTTTTGTCTTTGTTTTTGTTTTTGCAGTGGCCCTTTAGGCCAGTGGAGTTTATGTATGGGGGCAGGGGAGGGTAGTGGGTACCTGGAAGGGCCAAGGTCTGGGCACTGGAGTGGCCTAACCACCCTTGGAAGGCTGAAAAGAATGGAAAGACTTTTCTAAACCTTTAAGGAAGTATAAACACAAATATTAGAAACTTTGAACAGTGGCAAGGTGCTAGTGATGGAGCAAGTTTTTTTTTTCTTTCTGAAGGCTATATGTCCGTGATATGAAGCAAACACTACAGACAATACTTAGAAAAACACAGGCGGAGGGTTGGGAGATGGAGAAGAGACAACTCCAGATGACAGGGACCCAGGAAAACTGCCATGGGAGGCAGAGCTGAACTAGCAGAGTTCCTGCTGGGACCAGAATGACCAGAATGCAGCCCCGACTTCTCCACATAGTCCATGAAGCCCTAACTTCCGATTTCCTGAAGAAAAAAACTAAGCCAGATCCCCTTATTCTATCAGGTTGTGCCTGGGAGCTTGTGGCGGTGGCAGGGGGGTTGTGGCCACATTCCCCTGTGGCCCCACCATGGTGGATTAGGACTAAGGTGGTAGAATGCTCTGGAGACTGGGGATTAATCTGTGGCCAGGGGGAGGGGGTGGAACGGGGAGAGCTGGGCAGGAGGGAAAGATTTAGGGCAGTGAAGTTGGGCACAGAGACCTCCCTGTTCAAGGCCCCTACAGCTGTCCCTGCCCTTCTTCCCCTCGCCTGACTGCAGGGGTTATGTGGAAGCATCTGTGTGAGGACAGGAGGGGAGGGGAGGGACAGGGAAGGGGGAGTTTGGCCAATGGTCTGGGAAATGAGTCTCGATGGAGAGGAATGTGGATCAGGTTTACTAGCACCTGCCAGGGAGGCCATAGGGGGCTCCCTCTTCCCCCACACCAGCCCCCAAAGCAGCCCCTCCTCCTCCTGAGCCGCCAGTTTGCATTGTCCCCTCCCCCATCCCTGCTGTGGGTTCCCATCATTTCCTGTGTCAGCGCCTGGCCTACCCAGTTTGTCACGTGCTATATTTGAGTGGGGAAGTGTGTCAAATCAATAAATGAATAAATTCAATAAATGTCTATAACCAGCTCTGGTTTCTGCTGCCTCCCCCGTTTGGATAGGGGAAGGGAGGGGGACTGCCCGGAAGCACAGAAGTGGGGGTGGGGAATTTGGGTGAGGAGATGGTGGCTGGCTGGGGAGCCAATCTGATCCCCTAACTCCAGCAGAAGTAGGCGGGCTGGAATAGGCCTCCCAAGGGGAGGTAGTGTGACTGAAGAAGCCCCCACCGCCTACGGTATCACAAAGACTCATTGTATTGTGGACCTCACAGTCTGTCCTCACCCTCACCCATGCCCCAGACCTCTCTGCTGACCTTCCCTCTTCAGGGCCTCCACGGGGCCTGAGGCGCACTCACACCTTGATGCAGCTGATGGGAAAACAAGTCTTTATTGAAAAAGGAGCCTCACATTAAAATTTAGGCAGGAAAAATAATACAGAGTTATGACACATGCCTTGCTTCTGGCTGACCCCCCTGATCATATCCCCAGAATCACATGGTTCCTCATCTCCAAAATCACATCTCTCCTCATCTCCGGGTGTGGCCCTGAAGGCTCTGGATAAACCCTTACAACCCCCACCATACCCACTGGGGCACCACAAGGTTGGAGCAACACACCAACCCTGGGCCTTCACATTGACCACTGCCCCCATTGGCTAAGATCTTTGGAAGGGGTCCCCAGGGCATCCTAAACATCACTTGGGAAGACCCCATTCCCAAAACAACTCAAGAACAAAAAAACAAAGCTGCAGTTACTTTATACTAATATTACTGTAGTAACATTGTCACTTAGGTCAGCGATGTCTATCCCTCCGATAAAAGTCTGCTCTGGTTTTGAACAGTGGACCCCTTCTTGAGGCCCCGTCTTCATCTGGCCGTCCTGGTTTTGACTAGAAAAGCAAAAGGAGAGTGTGTAGAATAAATGTGCCCCTACACAGAAGCTTTCAACTCTCTGGGATCAAAAGCAGGGCACAGAGCTCTGAGGCAGTTCCTGGGCAGGGAGTCTGAGATTTGTAAAAGTCCATCCCCCACCTGCCTCCCCAGTTGTCAATTGACTAGTGCTAGGGAACATCTGGACACATTGGGGAAGACTTACTGGACGTTTCAAGGAGGATCCCATAGGTGCGACCTTTTTGGCCTCTTGGACTTTAAGCATCCTCACTCGGCTTCTCTCCAGGATTTCACATTGTGCGCGCAAGGAGTCTAGAAAGCAGACACACCCACCTCTGAACACTAAAACAACCTTGCCTACACATCCTGTCCTCCCATTGGTTCAGAGATCAGCGAGAGTAATCAGGTCAACCTTGGAGTGATCTAAAAGGGACTTAAACTTTGCTTTTTTCACATGGGAATTGGGACACAAGACTCCAAAGGCTGAAGAGGGAAGATGAAAATAATCGGGAGGTGTAGTGAGATAACTGAGAGGAGGGGTGGACAGGAGGTTAGTGACAAACACAGTTTGAGGGAAACTTCTTTCTTAAAGTGGACCTAGATCCCCATCTGCTTTTTCTAAGAGCCTGCAATTCCACCTGCAGAATCACATCAGTTGCACTTTAGGCACTCCATTGTCTAGCTGTGTATCATACATTCCATATTTTCACTTCCCCCATGCTCCTTACCTATCAGCTCGGGTTCTGGGTTCTTCAGAATAGGCACAAAAGCTCTGTAGGAATAAGCAAGTCTGGTCCCTGCGAACACAATAATAGTGTTCACTCTCCAGTCTCTGCCACCCAGTCTCCACCCTTCCAAAGCCCAAGATTTCAGGACCCTTATGTGCAACACTGTCTTGTGCTATTGTACCTTGTTTCTTGTATTGGACCTTCCCTAGAGTCAGGTCAGGAACATGGCATGAGTGGATCTAACCTGTTATCCTAGAAGCAGCAGGTTGCTGGGCTTTTGATTTTGGGGTTTTTTTGGGGGGCTTTTTGGGTCACACCCAGCTCAGGGGTTACTCTTGGCTTTGCACTCAGGAATTACTCCTGGTGGTGCTCGGGTGGCCATATGGGATGCTGGGGATTGAACCCAAGTCAGTCAAATGCTTGCAAGGCAAACACTCTACCCATTGTGCTATCGCTCAGCCCCAAGCAGTAGTTTTTCTTTCTTTTTTATTTTTGGCTTTTGGATGACACCCAGAAGTATTCAAAGCTTACTCCTGGCTCTGTGCTCAGGGGCCACTTGTGACAGGTCTTGGGAACCATATATCGTGCCAGAGATTGAACCCAGGTAATCCATGTGCAAGGCAAGTACCTTACTACTTGATACTATTATCTATTTGGTTCTAAAACAGTAGTCTATTTTTGTTTTGGTTTGGTTTCAGGTTTTTGGGCCACACCCAGCGGTGCTTGGGTTTGATTCTGCAATCAGGGAACACTTCTAGCAGTGCTTGGGGTACCTGGGATAGTACCCAGGTCAGATGCATGCAAGGCAAACACCCTACCCACTGTACTATCTCTCTAGCCCTCTTTCCCCGCCCCCCACCCCCCGCCCTGTTAGTCATGTTAGACTAACTAAAGATGGTCAGTTTGAATCAAGTTGAGGATATTCTATTTGGGCCTTAGGGACTGGACCACATTGTACGTTTGCCAGGGACTATCCCGGCTTCATTCTTAGGAATCACTCCTCATGGTGTCAGGGGACCTTATGTGGTTCCAGGTTTTGAACCAGGCATCCAGCATATGCTCAGCCTGATGAACTCTCACTGGCCCAAGGATGCCCTATTTAAGAGCAAATGCCATGATCATTCTTGAGGCACTCTTTATCTTTGGGAATGCCCCACACATCTACCTGGTGCTCCACGCTCAATTTTACAAACAAGGTAGGTGTTTCGAGATGTTAGGAATTTGTTGGCGTATTCTCCTGGGGTCTTCATCAGAAAAAACAACTTCATGGTTCCAGTTTCTTCACACAAATCAATGATGTCTAGAGGGAGATGGCAGTTGTGGAAACAAGTAAAGATAGCAGAGGCAAAAGGGCCAGTAAGCCTATCCAGAGTGGGTTGAAGGAAACTATCAAGATTAAAGAAGCATTCTTCTTTCCAGAACGATAGTTTGGGAGCCAGAGAGATAGTGTAAAGGGTAGAGCTCATCTTGTGTATAAGGGAGACCCAGGTTTGATCTCTATTACTATATGATACATGGATAATGATCCACCAAACACCACTAAGTGTAACCCAACCTCCAAGAAAGGGGAAGATGTAGGAAGTAGAAATGAATCTCTAGCCCCTGGACATTAGTCCCCTCCCCAAACTCCTCACCTGTTTTGGTTAACCCCACTTTTCTCCTGGTGTACAGCAGTAACTGGAGGATAGTGCAATTGATATTGACCAGAAACTGTTCATTATCTAAGAAGAGATGAGATGGGTCATGGGACCCTTCTCTCAATATGGGATCCCTGTGATCTTTGCTACCCTCAAACCTCTGCAACCCTCCACAGACTCCATCTCTGTTTTACCCCTTACCTGCATGTCTGATATAGATGAACATGGTCTGGAGAGCCCACTCCTCAGAAAAAAGCTTGATCAATCATAAATAAAAAGGGTACTCTAGAGACCCAGGGGTAGAGAAAAAATGACTCCATTTGATTAGAGGGTTAGAGAGACAGGTGGAATCCATAGGTCTATATGACTTAGAAAGAACAGACAAGAGACCACTAACCTTGTGACTAAGCAGTATCCTAAGGAGTTGGGTCTGATTGATGCTGAGGGTTTATGATGTCAGAAGTGACACGTACGGCAGAAAGTGAGATAATAGAAGAGAATAACTTAGGCATAGTCTGTAAAATATTTGTTGAGATTGGAGGCAACAAGGGAATTTAACTCTAAATGGGACCCTGAAAAGAGTGCAGGCCACCTAAAGAAAAGTTTTTGGAACTATCCTCTTTCCTAGTTAATTGATAGTAAGTGCTGTGGCTTCCATAGCCTGAGCCTGCTACTCCTGTTCCCTGCTCTCTGTATCATACCTCCCATATTTTCGCATCCCATATTTCCCACCCACCCCCCAAAACAGACATTTTTGATCCTTGTCAACAGAAGCTTTATTTCTCATTCTGAAACAACAGAAAGGTAAGAAGGGTAGATGGAAAGAGGCAGGGTGGCCTGCTGTGAAAGAGGAAGGCTAGTTTGGGGGAATGGGAAGCATGTACAGGGCAAAGGTGAGAATAATGAATGAGGGGGAACAATTCAAAATTAGCAGCGGTGGTAAGGGGGATTGTGGTGTTGCAGGGCTGGCATTGGAGTCAATCTGGTTGGAAGTTAGAACAATTTAAGATGACAAGACACGATTCTGTCCACTTCAGAACTCAGGTTTCAGGTTTCAGGGTGTAACATGGGGGGGCCCAGTAGGGACCGTGCTGGATGCAAGGGGAGCTTCCAGGCACCTCCACCAGGGCCCCTCCTTTTGGGGGAATCTCACTGACGTGGCAGAGCCGTTCGCTGTAGTCTGGCTGCAGACTCTCTGCCAATCCCTTAGACACACCGCTCCAGGCCTAAAGACAGACACCTTCAGGTCAGAGGTCAATCAGGTCAGGAAGCAAAAGATCCAGGCTGTGTGCCTGAGGAGCTTCCCCCAACATCTGTAACCAGTGTGAATACAGAAGGGGCACACAGACCACTGGCCCCAACCCCTACCCCATGCCACTGATTTCATCTGCCTCAACCAATCTATAATCAGTCGTCTGCCACTCTCTGCCCAGTCACTCAGCCCCAAATTGGTGGCCACATCCTGACAGTTTAGTATAGGCTCCCCCGCCCCTCCCTTCTACTCCACCCCTACTTTGTCTTGCTCGTAGGCAGTCAGCAATGAACAGACTATGGTCTGCTTATGACAATGTTCTCACCGAAAAATTCCCATGGTATTCAGTAACCAGATCCTCCAGGTTCTTGAGAGTAGGAATTCGGGGCATGGCCCTGAGGGAGAGGAAAAGGGAGCAAGAACACATGGACTAAGCTCTTTTGTTACCCTTCTGTCAGGTCTCTCAGACTGAATGAAGAGATCCTGTGTGCCCACAGCTTCCTTCCATCACCAGACCCACTTGT